CTCTAACACCCCCTCCTTTTTTTTTTTTATTTTTTTTTTTATTTTTTTATTGTCTCTTGCCCCCTCTAAGAATTTTTTTTTTTGTTTTTCATGACCCCCCCCCCCCCCCCCCCCCCCTCCACTAGTATTTAGAACTGAAATTTCATTTCTTTTTGTATTTCAATGGTGGGATTTTTTTCCCTTGGTTTATATTTTGCAAAAAAAAAATTCATTAATAAAAATTTCAATTAATTACTTAAAGTCGCGACTAGAGTTAATAGGTCCCCAAGGTAATTAAATTTATTCCAGGTTTATCCAAAAAAAATTTATGAGAATTAATTTATCATTTACCAAATAGGTCTTCGTAACGATGGTCGGCGCGTTCAGGAATTACGTAAAATAAATTGTAAACCTTCCGTATTAAGTCAGGCTGACGGCTCAGCTTACATTGAGCAAGGAAATACGAAATGTTTGGCTGCCGTTTATGGACCTAGAGAGGTATGTAAATTCTTTAGACATGAACTTTAGAAGAATTATTTAATTGAAATGGTATTTTCTCATTTGTTTAATTGCAGGCAAGAACAAAAGCTCAAGTACTTCATAACAGGGCAAACATTAATGTAGAGATTTCTTTAGCTCCATTTTGTATGAGTGAAAGGAAAAAAAGATCCAAATCTGACAAGTAAAAACAAATATTTTAATTTATTTTTCTTTTATGTAATGCTTATGAATTGACACAATTTTTCTTTTATCATCATTAGGCGTATACTAGAAATCGCGTCAGCGGTAAAACAAACATTTGAAACAATTATAAAGACAGAATTGTTTGCCAGGTCTCAAATTGATATTTATCTACAAATTTTACAATTTGATGGAGGTAAGTCTCTGGAAAACGAGACTTCAAATTACGTGAAATATATAAATTCAATTTTTTTTTTTTTTTTTTTCAAGGCACGATTTAAATTTGTATAAATGCAGCAACATTGGCATTAATCGATGCGGGTATACCAATGGTGGATTATGTTTGTGCTTGTTCGGCTGGATGTATAGATGATGAACCAGTTTTAGACTTGAATTATGTCGAAGAATCGCATGATACACCAGAATTAACCGTGGCTTTATTACCGAAAACTGGTAAAATTACTTTGTTACAGGTAAGGAGAAAATATGGGCATAAATTTTTTATTTCAAACGGGTTAAAATCTTTTTCACTTATCATAGATGGAATCTCGATTACATGTTGATAAATTTCAATCAGTCATGGAAATGGCAACTGTTGGATGTAAAAAAATTTACAATATTTTGGATGATGTCGTTAGAGAAAATGTGAAAAATTTACTTGAAAAGAAAAAGTAATGAGCACATGTGGGTTTTTATAATCAAAAAGGAAAGAGATTAAAAATCAAGAAAGGAATTGTTTGTTTTAATGTGTTTATTTTTTGCCTACAATGCGTTTAAATGTTCCCATGATTGGACCTATTATTCTCTCAGCGGTCCATGGAGTCATCCATACACAAGCTGCGATACGTAAAGGCATTATCGCCTTACAAAGGAAAAAGAAAAAAAAAATTTATGTCCAGAACTTTATTACGTAAGCGAGAAATAAATTGATGCTTCTCCTCATAAATTTGAATACCTTAACGACGGCATAACTTGTAGCAGCATTCAATGCGATTTTACTCCCATTCTCAAAAGGCGGATAACCATAATAAGTGACCACCTTATTAATAAATTTATTTCCTTCATCAAGTACTTGTTGAGGAAAAGGGATTTGGATACCTGTAGTGGAAAGGAAAATATAAACTAATGGTATAGGAATTATAGCCGTTAATTCATGTAAAATTGCAAATGAAGTAATATATGATCCAGGTTTTGAACGAAATTGAGCCGCGTATTTACGCCAGCCTTTTAAAGTTTCAGTTTGAGTAGAAGTCGTTTGTTTCGAAGTTGTTAGTTTGCGACGTATTAAAAAAGAATTGGTCAATGAATTAGGATTTGAATCATATAATCGAATCGCATGAATGGAAAGTTTGTTTTGATTTAAAATGCGAAAGTTGCGCGTTTTTTTTAAAGACATATTCTCTTTAACCCTGGTTCGCTTCTGTTCCTTGTTCCGGTTAGTCAAAATATTTACTGAATTTCGATTGGTAATTTGAGAACAGGATCTGGTATAGATCGTGCAATGACAAAATCCCAAAAATCTCCATTCAGTTATATACTTCATGATTGCAAAATTACAGTATAATTTTTCATTTTTTAAACGAAAATGAATTTAATAACTAGAATCCTTCGATAATCTCACGTGAAACATGCAAGAAATCGCTTCAAAAGTGTGATGCACATATTTTAGCTAATGCATTATTTTATTGACCAATTTTTTTTTTTTTGCGTTCATGACGAAACTAATTAATAATTTAGCCAATCAGAAATTCAATTGTTCTGAAAATTTGATTGGATAATGATGTTTTTGAATTTGATATTCGAACAGCAAAATAGAACGATTCTGTTTCACCCAGCTTAATTGTGAAACTGGCAATTTTATCAAAACGACATATAACCTTAAATTCTATATAACTCAAAATTCTTCTTCAACCTAGTTATAAAAATTTATTTACAATGAAAGCGACATTATTCATACCTAAAGCACAACATAATTCTTGTTTCTCTTTTATTATTTCATATCACGAAAATATATCCTTGTGTCCAGAGTTATAACTCACTTGATGCTATTCCTATCCATTTAAAAGGAAGACACAGTCACAACAGGAATAGACGAACAAAATTCGCCCACGAGATTGATATCTCGTGGTGCCAAATAGGTTGTGAAAACAACAAAAAATGCCTCAAGCGATGGAATAGTTTGAAGCGTGTCAATCTCGGAAAGCTGGAGTTGACATTCGTAGAAGATATAAAGCGTATCGTAGACTATTAGAAAGAGACATTCCTATATTAAATATGTTCCTGATGGAACAACTAAATAAACATAAATAATCGCCCCCAAATATATACACCAACTGTTTTTTCTAGGGGAGTTGTAGAAAATTCTATTTGCTTATCTATAATATGTAGTCGCGCCAAGACGACGACATATTTCTTCAACTCCCCTTTCTTCCATCCCCCCCCCTCCCACTCCTGTAATTCTTGTTAAAAAAATTCTAGTAGTAGAAAATTTTATTTGCTTATCTATAATATGTAATTCTTGTTAAAAAATTGTTATAATAAAATTTATGAATAATTTTTAAAGGAAAATGAACCTTTGAGATCGATAATGTTCTATCCTTAGGACCCGGTCCTAAGATTCTGAATTCCCGAATAAGTTTATAATAAATATTATGATACTAGATAATGCCAGTAAAATAAAATTCTTCTCTAGAGCTGGCGACAAACGAAGCTGTTATAACCATCTAATCAAGGAATTAAACTCCTGAAACTTAACCGGTTACATCAAATTTAACTTCATGATGTTCTTCGTGAATTCAAGAACAAGATCATTCTATGAATATATTGATGCTGGTTTCAATGTAATAATAAGGAATTCTATTACCATGTCGGAATTATCAGCTAAAGCCACTCTTGATGGCTTTCTATCCTTTAATCTTTTCGGATAAATGCCTTTTATTAAATAAATTAAATCAACGATATGCTTGAATAAATTGTCATAATTAAAAAAAAAATTTCTTACAGTCGCATTTGTCTCTGTCAAAAATTTACGCTCCTATTCACAATTACATTACTTTCGCTGGAAAATGAGTTCCCATTTTATTAAAAAAAAATAAAAAAATTTTTTTTTTCTCGTGATGAAATAACTTGGGGAGATTCATGGATCCTCGTTACGCAACATTGATGATCATCAATCACTATAAAAAAAATTTTTTTTTTTTTTTTTTGTTCAATCTTTCAATTTCATTAAAAAAAAAAAAAATAATAATAATAGTTTCTCAGTTATATAGAAGCACACAATGGTAAGTTTAAATGTTTTTATTTTGACATCCATTATATAATTTAATACAATAGATATTTCCTTCTAAAATCAATTTTCAATATCTTTGATTATTCAGAGTAAAAAACAAAAGAAAGTTAAAGTTGAGGAAAATATCTCACTTGGACCACAAGTTCGAGAAGGAGAACTTGTATTTGGAGTGGCACATATATTTGCTTCATTTAACGATACATTTGTTCATGTAACTGATTTATCCGGAAAAGAAACTATCGTTCGTGTTACCGGTACGTTATAATTTGAAATTATAGTTTTTTTTTTTTTTATATATATAACTGATTATCATGAGGGAAATATAAATTGGATATTAAAATTGTTGGAAAAAGAACTTACCTATTCTTAGTACAACTTTGAAATCCAATTAAAGATATATTCCATATATATGGGACTTAGTGGTGAAACACATACTCCCATGAAAGAATACTGATCAATAATTTTTTTCCCAAATTGTCAATATTTTTTTTGGGAAATCTATATTTCTTTTTTTCCTCCCTTCCCTCGTTACATATAAAGGTGGCATGAAAGTGAAAGCGGACCGTGATGAATCATCACCATATGCAGCTATGTTGGCTGCTCAAGATGTAGCAGTGAAATGTAAAGAATTGGGGATTTCAGCTTTACATATTAAATTACGTGCTACGGGTGGTAATGGTACAAAAACTCCTGGTCCTGGAGCTCAATCTGCTTTAAGAGCTTTAGCAAGAGCTGGTATGAGAATTGGTAGAATTGAAGACGTCACACCCATTCCTACTGATAGCAGTAAGTATCTTTTTTTGCAAGCTTTTTGGAAAAGCCGATTATTTTTTTTTTTAATTTTAATATTTTTTATTTCCGTACAGCTCGAAGAAAGGGTGGTCGTAGAGGTAGACGTTTGTAATTATACATCAAAAGGAGTGAGCAACGTCACATCTATTTTTATTATTATTATGTATTGTCTTTACTTTAATTATGTTAATGATAATGATAATAAAGACAGTTCGAATCTGACTTTTTACAGATGAAAATTTTAATTTTATAATTAATGTGATTAGATAAATACAATAAATACAAAAAAAAAAAAAGTAAACCCCAAAACTTTTCAAATATCTTAAACAAATACTATTTAAAAGGTTAAATGTGTTGCCTCCTCAATTATAATTTCACTCGATCAGAGCGTTAACAGCTCTTCCAATGATGAGAGTTGAAGGAGCCACGACACGTTCTTTTTCTACCACTTCACCCAACGTAGCGACCGTAGCGTGAATGATACGTTCATTAGGACGACTCCCATTCTCCACAAAAGCAGCAGGAAGGTCGTCGGGATAATTATTATTTAATAATTCTTTAGATAATTCTTTGGCCTTTCCAACCGCCATAAGCACGACAGTGGTACGCATATCATGATACTGAGGAATTTGTGGTAATTTACCTTGGGTTCCTTGTCCAGTAATAATCAAAACCTGATCAGATAAACCTCGATGAGTAACTGGTACATTGGCTGACATAGGAGCAGATAAGGCACTACTGATGCCGGGTACAACTTTCACTTCATAACCTTTTTTCTTAAAAAAAGAAACTTCTTCTCCTCCTCTACCAAATAAAAATGGGTCACCAATCTTCAATCTTACAACATTTTTGCCTTTTTCTAAACCTTCTAAACACCAATTCTGTATCTCTTTTTGTGATTCTTCAGATTTGACGGATTTTTGTGGACCAGATTTTGCTGAAGCTAAACGTATTTCACATTTTATTACGGAAAAGATTTCTTTAGGAATCAAAAGATCTGATACAACTAAATCCGCATTAGACAAAGCTTCAGTCGCCTTATGGGTTAATAAAGAAGGATCTCCTGGGCCCGCTCCAACCAAAATTAATTGACCCTTCTTTGTCTCTTTATGCTCATCTTCAAGATTCATCTCTTTCGTTACCTCCTCCGATTTGTCACTTAAAAAGGTTTCTTGTTTAATGGTGTTAAAACTTGGAATTACATGCTTCTCATAATAAGGTAATAAAGCTTCAATCACGTTATTATCCAATCGTTTTAAATCCTCAATTGACCAATCTTCACAAATTTTTGACATCCATTGCATCCGTTTACTTGAAGATTTGTAATCCGAATCAATTTCACGTATACTTTGCCTTAAATTACCAACTTTATTAATAGCCTCACCAATACCATTGGGAAGGTTTTTAGAAATATGTCTACGAATAATATTAGCTAATTTAGGTCCTTGACCGTTGGTACTAACAGCAATTTGTAAAGGACCTTCCCTATGTTCTGACATAAAATAAAAATCACATAGTGGTGGTACGTCGGCTACATTGATTGGAAGTTTTTTTTCTTTACTTAATTTATAAATTTCTTTGGACTTGATTGGATCATCTATTGCCGTTAATACCATGTCAATGTTGTCTTCTAAATCTATTGGTTCAAATTCTCTATTAATATACTTATAAATTTGATCCTTTGATATACGAAACTTTAATTCCAGATGTAATCCCTCTTCGGGACAAACTAACGTTACTTTTGCATCAGCTTCAAGTGCTTTTAAAACCCTTCCACATGCTACTTCTCCTCCTCCAACGATCAAAATATTCTTGGAATTTGTACGCCAGGCTAACAATAAGGAACCTCCTGTTCTAACGGGTGGGTATTCTTCTGTTATCGTTGCTTCTGGATTTGACATATTTATTAGGAATAGAATAGGAAATAATTATTTTAGCCGCGATTTTAATAAGGCGCAAAGTTGTAATAGAAAACGAAATCGAATCGATCTAAAAAATTGGATTTATCGATAATCGGAACTAAAATCCATTTTTTAATGGCGCAGTAAGCACGGGTTATCATCACAAATTAACGCATTTACCTATAACGGGTATGCTACGAAATCTCGAAATCCAAAATCTCGAAAAGCCAAAATCTCGAAACTCTAAATCCCGAAAGGTCCA